TCAATAGCGAACCGAGTGAAGATTCTTAAATTAGTTGCTGTGGATCTCTTAGTAGGAAAACCATGCTGATTTGAGAAATAAAAGGCAAAACCGAATGAGTATATGGATTACAAAGACATTGTGAGTAGTAAAAACTTAGAGGGGCTCAAACACTTGCTCATCCAATAAAATTCAGTCACTCATCTAAATGAACCAACTTTTTGGAAACAGACGATAGAGATGTTCTAGATAATGCAATACCAATAAGACCAGGGCTCCGCTCTAGGAGAATTGTCTGAGTTAAAAAACCTTCGTCTACTGAATTAATAATGTCGACACTACAGATGACTCGGATTAAAACCTATCTGTAACAAAATACCTTTTCCGCTAAAGAAGACTAATGAAATGAGTGAATGTGAAAAACCGATCCATAAATGTCGATTATACCGGCGGACCTTTAAGTCCAAACAGGATTAGGAAATGAAGTGGAGCTGTTTAATTCTTACAGACCATTTCTTATTCTGTATTGATCTCTCTCCAACTAATTTATTAAATGTTTTTCCATTATAGCGAACGGCGCTCCAGACTGGCTATAAATTATCGTATACGATAAAGGAGAACTTAAACTCAAACATGAACGTAAAAATGTGTATTGCTGTGTTTCTCCAATACCTCTAATGTGTTGTGGAGTTTGCGAGGCTTGAGTGTTTTCCTGCTATTTTTCACATTTACCTTGGAAACAATTGATCACGTTTTAGTGAATTTAGCGCGTTTTGTATCGGCATTTTAGCTTTGAAAGTGAAGTAACTGAAGCATAGGTATAAGCAAGCATGTTTCTGCACAGCAGTGCTTAAGCGGTAATGAAACATGCTCAAAACCACATACGATAAAATGTCTAATTAGTATAAATATACTGAGTGACAAGAACAGGTAAACACCTACGTATGCTTATTAGAATTCAAGAATCTAGTCACTAGTCATCTAGTCACTCAAACTTTTTTGCTACTTAGCAAACTGCTCCGCCTGTCTCAACATTGGAAGAGCTTTATACCATTCAATAGATCAGAAGTCACAATTAATAAGAAGCTTTGTCTCGTTACATGACTTAATTAACTTCAATAATGTTTTCAATGTAAACGGTCGAATATTGAATCCGATTTTAGGAAATCTTGACATAGAAGTCATCAGGGATAGTTCACCGTTAGTTAAAGAGGATGTCCATCATCCTGCGCTGATCTTTGAATTTGAATACATCCGGGTCTCAAAGAAAATTCTCATTTGCAAATTCTACAAGGTATAATTTTCGCAAAGCTAGATACCTTGAAATGTACAGAGCCTTACTGGATGTTAATTGGACTCAGGTGATCAATGCAGACAGTGTGGACGACGCTTGTGTTGCCTTATATTCTGTAATTAATAACATATTCGAGGTCCATGTTCCAAATGTAAAAGTAACCAGTTTTCATATCCACCATAGTTCACACGTGAGATCCTAGTTAATCTTAATAATAATAATAATAATAGACGTCTTTATTTATCCACAATTACATTGTAGTATAGCCAAATGTCAGACTTATATGGCGAAGTTTAGCATGCTGCTACTCTTACACTTAACCATATAGTCTCTAGCAGATGTTCAAAAGAATACACTATCCACAAACAGATTTGGTTCATTACATCGAAAGTAAAATTTAAAAAAAGAGAAAAAGGCATACTTTCCAAACCTAAATGCACCAAAAAATTATTAATCTGAATTAAAGATGGAATAAAAAAGAAGTGAATGATTACGTAAATTATATGTTTGGAGGGTTGAGTAATAATGTTTTAACTTTTTGTCGAAAGACAGGTAATGAAAATTCTTTATATACTTTAAGAAGGTCATTATAAATAATAGCAACATTGTAAGAAAAACTGCGTTTAAAAAGTGTAGACGTATGCAGGGGTATTCTAATATTATTTTCTCTGAGAGTTCTACAGTGAACATCATTATTAAATGAAATGTTTTACTTCAAGTAATAAGGTTTAGACGTGAGCAGCAATTTGTGAACAAAAACTGAATAGTGATACTTGACCATGTCATTAATTTTTAACCAGTTTAGAGCGGGATATTTCACTGATACATGATCAAATTTACGTAAGCCAAAAATGAATCGTATACAATTGTTTTGAATAACTTGAATAACGTTTTTAGTGAAATTGTCTAAACAAGTATAGTATACGATATTACAATAATTTAGTATAGATATAACCAATGCTTCACATAGTTCTTTACGCATCTTAAAATTTAGTAAATACCTGTTTGCTATAAGAGTGCGCAGCCGTAGGTAGGTTTTCTGAGATAGACTTTTAACATGTTCAATAAACCTTAATTTTGTATCAAAAACAACACCAAGAATGTTTGCAGAATCAGAAAATTGCAAGATTCGGTTATTTATCTGAATGTTCAAGAGCTGTGTTACATTGTATGTTTTTCTTTGTGCGCAAAATAATAACATTTTAGATTTTTGTGGATTAATAAGTAGATTGTGATCTAAAGAGTATTTAATTAATTTATTAACATCGTTTTGTAAAATTTGGGTAGTATTATTGACATTATCTGGGTTAAAATAATGAAGCAATTGCGTATCGTCTGCACATGACTGGACATGAGAATTATCAATACTTTTGCTTAAGTCGAACGTATATATGAGGAACAGAAGCGGCCCCAATACAGAACCCTGAGGCAATTATTGTCACTTGAGACATTTCTTGATTGAGAAAAACACACTGAGTTCTTTGATGATAAGATAAGAAAGACAAGGCAACGAAGAACTGGAAACGTTACGGCCCCAACTTCTTTTATATTCAGTTTAGTAATCTTAGAAGGCTCATTAAAAATCAAATCAATGCTGCATATTCTGCGTACATCCAATCGGTTGAGGATGCCATTGCCATAGAATGAATTCCGGTCATTCGTTCATATTAAAAAACAGCAATCTAGAATTCCATCTAGAATAACCATTAACGGCAATGTCTCCGATACTCCTCAGGATATCGTAGACAGTTTTGCTGTCTTTCTTTTCATCAGTTTTTATACACTCTAATCCACAACGGAACTCATCTTCAACAACTAAATCCGATAGTACAATTTCTCTCAATTATATAAGTGAAGATGATGTTATCACGGCTTCGAAAAGATTAAAGAACAAAGTGACATCTGGATGTGATGGTATCCCAAGTTTTTTTGTCAGAGATTGTAATCACATACTGGCTAAACCGTTGGCTTCAGTATTTAACCTAATTCTTAAATTAAGGACATACCCAGATATAAGGAAAACCATTAAAATATGTCCCATTCATAAGAGTGGTGATATCGCAGTTGTTTACAACTACGGACAAATAGCAATTCTATGCAACTTCGGTTGTTTGAGATCATAGTTTATAATACGGTTTACTGGTCGGTCAAGGGTGCAATCAGCATGGATTAATGAGAGGCAGATCTACGGTTACCAGCTTGACTCTGATTAATCAGTATATCTCAACAGTATTAGACACTCGGGGGCAAGTTGATGTAATCTATAAAGATATTCACAAGGGATTTGATCAAGTTGATCATTATGTACTTCTGGATAAGCTTAGGACTGTAGGCCTATCTGAGGGACTGTTGTCGCTCCTGAGTTCATACTTGATAGACAGAAGGTTGTTTGTTGAATATGGTGTTTATAGGTCGAGTTATTATCAGGCCACATATGGGGGCCCCAAGGATCGAATCTAGGCCCATTATTGTTCTTGATCTTTATTAACGATTTGTCTATTGATCTCAAGTGTTTGCATCTGTTTTTTGCTGACGACGTTAAAATTTACGTATCGGTCGAGTCATTGGTGATTGTCTCATGCTGCAGGATAATTTAGACTTAATTACTTAATGGTTCTCGCGAAACTGTCTTAGTTTAAATGTTTCTAAATGTAAAGTTGTGTCTTATACAAGAAAGACTAATTATTTATAATATATGATGATTATAACGTCAACTCAGGTTCTAGATAGATGCTACTCTTTTATGGACCTTGGAGTAACCTTTGATAGCAGGCTAATGTTTAGCGAACATACAATTAATATCTCATCGACTGCCACCAGACTACTTGGCAGATGTATCAGAAACTGGAAGGGGTTCTCCAATGTCAGTACTTTAATGACTTTGTTCGTTACTTTTGTCAGAAGCAAGCTGAAATATGCAACCCTGATCTCGTCTCCAATATACCTAAATTCAGTTTCAATGATTGAAGGCTTTCAACGTAAGGCTATTAAGTATTTTTACCTTACATGTACTGGTTCTTATCCAGAAAGAGGTTTTTGTCATCATACCCTTTTGAATTTTTTCGATTTTGATTCACTATCAATTAGATGTAATATGTTTGCCTTATCGTTTTTATATGTCCTTATGCACAATCAAGTTAACTGTCCGGATTTACTTGAAAAAATATATTTCCGCATTCCAAGACTTTTTCTTTTCTTTTTCTTTCCAGCCTTTTGTTGTCAAGCAGGCCGGACAAACGTAATGTTGAAATCTCCAGTTTATGTAATGTGCAGTCTGATGAACTCTATTTGTCATTTGTGCGATATTTATAATGACAGATGTAAATCAATCATAAATTGCTATAAGTCATCGATTGTTCTCTGAGCTTACTTAGGCCAATTGATGCTACGTTTAATTTTTCAATGTATGTCTTTATTTTCTGTAGGAAATATGAAATATAAATAAATAGATGCCTTGCGAAACCCACATATTGGGCTCTTTGACGTGCACATATAGTTTTTTTCACGGTTTCTAACTAACTGTACCATGTGCCAAGCATTACTTTTCCAAGGAAAATTACACTCTGCAGAAGCCGAGCCTCACCGCTGCTGCTACCCGCTCTTGCACACACGAGAATTGGGTGATAGGAGACCGCTATCTTCATTCACTTCTCCACAATGCTCCAATAAATTTAACACATACTGTCGACGTTGTAGTTGTACTCTCAGGCATTGCCACGCGTTTTCTATGGAAGAAAAGCGAAACTCGCCCGCCCATGCCAAGCAAGTTGTCGCACTGACTATGACAAAAATACATGTGGAAAAATCATACGTCAACGAGAAAGGTTTCATGGCAGTAAGAAAAAACATAAAAAACAAGGGTTCGGACATAAAGGTCGTTTGCAAATTTATTCATAATCTTCACGATAACACTACTCAGCCCTTGATAATGCAGGAAGTGAACAGGTACCTAAATCCAATACGTGCAGCGGGGCTCGCATTGTGATCACCACTTGACCAGCACAATCCCAATTATAAGCTCCATCGAAATGAACTAGGAATTCGCCACAAAAAATATAAAACTCGTCAATGGGATCCGGTGAGAGTCGAGTGGCGCAAAAACAACACAAACGTCGGCCAGTTTAATTCGAGGTGATGGACAGGTGAACTTCGATCGACAGCCACTCCAGGGCTGGTCAGTGGTGAGCTGTCTGTGCTTTAATTGGTTGTCCTCACAGCCAATTTGACGACAATTTGCAAGTTGGTATTTGATGACGGGCTGTAATGTCGCTTTAACATTGTCAAGTCCGTGGCAGGGAAGTATTGCAATCGCGAAAATTCCGAAACCGAGATATGGATACTGTATGACATCACGAAAGAATATCTCCCATTTCCGTCGGTGTTAGACCTACCTGTCTGTCCGTCTGTAAAAGTATCGCTCGGCACGGGTATCTTGTAAAAAACCTATAAAACGTCAAAACAAACCTATAAGATGTTAACTTGCAGACTAGGTAGTTTTTAGGGCGAAAACAGTCATTCCACGTTTGCTCACTAGGATCGTTGTGAACGTTCATCTATGGAGGAATCACTCAAGTAAACTACGCATTATTGGTTGCATAGTTTTGTGAGGCTGAGTGATTTGGGTCTGTAACTTTTATCTCTGAGAAGAAAGTTGGTTGAATAACAAGATCGCATCTGGATGATTATGTGTATTTGTTTGCAAATGTATAAAATCAGTGATATTTGCTGTGTGAGAAAATCATTACTGAATATACCGAATATGACGGGTTATTTATATGTTGTGCTTTCTGAAGAGAGGTTATGTTCGAAAACTAAGGAGAATTACAGGAAATCATTACCGCGCCCGCGTTGTGTGTAATTACTGTTAGCATGTATATATGGCTTGTAATTTGACAGTGTACAGTGAATATAATTATTTTTATCTAATTCTAGCTTTGAATCTCGATTAAGTGTATTTGATACAAGAACCAATGTAATTATCATCAACACATACAACGTACAGCTTAGACCTCCAGCAATGCCATCTCAGAAGCAGATTTTACATCACATCAGACCCAAAGATTGGTAACAAGCCTCGTGACGTTTAGGCAACACGTACAACTAAGTGCTAAGTTAACATCTTGTAGAATAACCCACATGTCAATAAAAAACAGCATAATGTCAAAAAAAATCTTACTTCCAAGTCAAGGACAAAAAAGCTTTGGTGGGAGTGGCTAGGAGCAAGTATGAAAAAAATCGCACAAACTACACTGCCACGCAAAATTGACCGGACAAAAAAATTTTGTTTAAATTAAATTTGAAATAACTTTTGAACCTTTGCATCAATTCGCTTATTCTACTCGTTTGCTGGCAGATCCAAAACGGCATTTTTGAATGCGTCAACTGCTTCTTCTGGTGACTGGAACCTTTGACCACGCAGTCTGTTTTTAATTTTCGGGAAAGTAAAGAAATCGTCAGGAATTATATCGGGACTATACGGAGGATGGCCCAATAATTCCATGTTTTCTTCCGTTAAATACTGCCTTGTTTTTTGGGCTGTGTGCGAGCTTGCATTGTCTTGGTGGAGGATGACTCTTCTTTCGGGGTTGATTTTTCGAAGCTCGGTGATGACTTTTGGCAAACAAATGATTGTATACCAATCCGCAGTAACAGTCCTTTGCTCATTAAGGAGAACTGTTGCAATATGACCCGCTTTTGACACAAATGTCGCGATCTTCAAGGACGCCTCAATCTCGCGATCTTCAATGTTGAGTTTGCGCACAGCATCGACGTGTTCCTGGGTGACTGCCGTTTTTGGTGCACCCACCCTGGAATCTTTGCTAAGACTCACCCGTCCACGTTTGAATTCTCCATACCAACGGGAAATTGTCGACTAATGTGGCGCTTTGTTGCCGAAAACAGACAGTGTTCTTGTTGCGATAATTGTCTCTGAAAGTTGTAATAAATTATGGCGCGAAAATGTTCTCGGTTGAGTTCCATTTTTCTAATGACTTGGTGACACTTAAAAATTCACTGCAGTGAGAACACTGCAGGTATTGGTGTTGAAACTTTGAATTTAAGTTTACTAAAGAGTGAGGTTAAGATTCATTACTGATGTTCGATCCGCGCGGCCTACTATGTTTCTATATGCAAAACTTAAAAGACATCCCTCGTATAGTATAATATTTATTTGTTCTGAGCTAATGTTCTTATTTGTAGATAATGAAGTAGATAATGATTTCCTATTGCTCAGAGTTTCCTATATAGCATAATCTACAATCGGCATCCTTACAGCATCCTTGTTCAATCCTCAGATATGTTACCAACATTAAATGCACGATTTCCCTAACATTATAGCTTAACCGAATCGTTAAAATAAACGGAGATCCTACAGAATAGCCCTGACTGTCCGTTTATTTTGGTCACGAGCTTAGTGAAGATGGATCTTTATGGAACACTGCCAAAATCGTTGAAGTTTTTATCTCCCGGATTCAAAGTTTAACTTGCATGATAGTTTTTATATAGTATTTTAATGGAAGTGTAAATTCACGTTCAACAGATTGGTCTTACAGATCGCTTTGATAAAAGAATGACGTTTTGAGAGAACCTAGGAGTAGATATATATCTTGACTGCAAAACACATCACTCACATTATACTACTATTATTATAAACTCCAACTCAACTAGCGCAGATAAAATTAGTGCAAATATTTTAAAAATGTCATCTAGCTTCCTTAGCCAACCTCTAGCATTTGTAATTAATTGTTCCATTGAGGAGGGGACATTTCCAGATAAACTTAAAGTTGCAGAAATTAAGCCCTTGTTCAAGTCTGTTGATAACCACGACAATTTACCTAATTAGTCCCTTTGCGAAAGTATTTGAGAAATATGTTTCCTTACAAATTGTCAATTTTTTTACAGTTTTTACAGCAGACGGTTTGGATTCATAAAAGGTTTGTCAACCAAAAACGCTGTGCTTCATTTCCTTGACGAACTGTATTTGAAAATGGACAATGGCGAAAAGTGTGTAGGAATATTTCATGACTTGAGTAAAGCTTTTGACTTAGTTGACCATGTAATACTTTTGGATAAATTGGATAGATATGGAATCAGAGGTGAGCCATTTGACTGGTTCTACAGTTATCTAGGCAACAGAAAACATTAGGTTGAGGTGCTAACTGCACAGTCTGACCAGCACCTGAATCATAGAGGGGTTCCACAGGGTTCCATACTTTGTCCCCTCCTATATATAATATATGTCAATGACTTTCCCTCCAAATCCTCGGTAATGTATGCTGATGATACCTCATTACTTGTTAATGGCAAAAACCTGGAGTGGTAAGAAATGCCAACACAAGCTTAGCTGGTGCAGAGCAATGGTGCATTAATAACGGCCTGGTCTTAAACCACAAAAAGACAGTGTTCCTGAGATTTGACTACTCAAATATGCATATGGATCATAGTCTCCTTATAAAATCAAGCGGTAGATCCATGGAACAAGCAGAAACTATAAAATTTTTAGGAATACACATATCGCAAAACTGCAAATGGGATACGCATATAGAGAAAGTTAGTTGCTATTGCATGTACCAGCTGAGTTTTGTCGTTGATAAGTGGATATTGTTAATGTTTTCCCATGCACATATCCATTCTACTCTGACTTCTGGGATAGAAGTGTTGGGAGCATCCTCCAAGTTACAAAGCCTTCTTATATTACAGAAAGATCTGTTAGAACTATTGCAAAGGTGGGAAGGCGCTTTAGTTATAGAAATATTTTTTCGGAAATAATCAGTGCGCTAATAGAACAGCAGAAATATTTAATGAGCGACATCAGATCAGCAACGTGCGTCGAAAATGTGTTCTAGAACTTGTAGCTAAATTTCGGAAAACTGGGTCAGTCGCCAATAAAAAACGCAACATTGAAAATCCCATAAGGAACGAAGCAATAGAAGTGGGCAATGTAGATATGTAGATCCTACGTTAAGTACCCACAAATTGGGGACTGTGTGTAGTGTTAGTCGACGTACTGTCCAACGGATTATAAAGGCCCATAGTTTTCATCCGTATAAAATTCACCTGGTACAAGAACTTAATGAAGACGATTTTGATCGGCGATTACAATTTTGTGAAGATATGAGTGAACGAATTATAAACGATGAACATTTTCTATTCAACACTTGCTTTTCCGACGAATGTTCCTTTTTCTTAAATGGCGTAGTGAATCGTCATAAGTGCCGATATTGGTCCGATTCTAATCCCAGAATTTATCATGAGGTTCATATACAGCAGCCAGAAAAATTAAATGTTTGGGCTGGTATTTTTGGAGATCATTTAGCTGGTCCTTTTTTCTTACCTGGAAATTTGACCGGTGAAATGTATTTGCAATTACTGGAAGACGCCATAGATCCTGCATTAACAGCCATAATTGAAAATCAGAATGATCGGCGGTACATTGCAAATAGGTTGATGTTCCAACAGGATGGTGCCACACCACATTACGCATTACGTGTTCGACAATATTTAGATCAGACGTTTCCAGATCGATGGATTGGTAGAAGAGGTGCCATTGAATGGCCCCCAAGATCGCAAGATTTATCACCTTTGGATTTCCTTATGTGGGGTCATTTAAAAAGCAAAATCTATGCTACTCAGCCAACATCATCAGAAGACCTGCGACGAAGAATTGTTAATGAGTGCCTCCAAATTACTCCTCAAATATTGCAAAATGTGCGGCAGCGTTTTGAGCAAAATCTTTATTATTGAATGGAGAGTCATGGTGGCCATTTTCAACATTTACTTGCCTAACGGGTCAGTTCATTCTTCATTTTTAAATTACTTTGCTGCCAAATGTATTGATCTCCACTAATGATGATGTATTAGTTTTATTTAAGCTTTAAACCAATAAATCTTCAAAACTACTGAACTGAAGTACATTAATTTTATATCATTATAAAGGGAATTGAAAG